AAAGGCCCGGGGCCCCCGCCACAGCAAAAATGGCGGACGACGTCACAAAATTCCATATGGCGGATGGCAAATTGCGGAGAGCCCCAAAACTGCCCCGCCATTTCGTTGTAACGCCATTATAACAAATTTTTTAAAAAACATTGATTAGCATGAAAGATGCAATGACTGGATTTTTTTTCACCTCACCCCGTTGTTTATAGTATTTTAATTTAATACTTTTAGCCAAGTATTTTTATCTATGCTACATTCCTATGTTGCATATTTTCTTGTAACCTAGTAATCGTTTTTGGCCATTAATCATATAAACATGTGGAAAATGCCAAAACTCCTCAATCTCATGGCTATTTTCTAGAGATGGATTTCTGATTAAGTCATAATTTTCTATCTATCATCCAGTTCTTCGTTTTTGAAACAAATAATTTTTCTTGTATTGTATTGACAATAGGGAGAATGCCTTAATTGTAAAAGTGTCATAGAACTGGATTGCAATTTAGGCATTTCACTATACTCTTATTGAGTAGGATGATCATGTAATTGAAGTAAATTAAGAAAAATCTGGCAGAGCTAAGTAGTAATTATCTTTCAAGCTTCTACTTGCAAGTATATGAAGTAGAAACCGTAGGTTAAAGCTTGCATCTAGGTGTTAGTTCTAATGTGTATTAAAGATTGAAATCATAATAGTTGGAAAGGAATTTATTCATCAACTTGACTTGGTATTGCTATAGACATAAATTTAAGCTGATTTTGGGAGTAGTAGGAGACAAACCCAATCCTTAAGACACTTCTAATTTGTTGTGTCTAGAATAAAGAGTCACAAAAAAATACTATTAAAAAACAACTTAAAATTTATGAATTCAGTTACGAGGATGATTTGGCACAAATTGTGCAATTAAAGAAGTCAAGAGATGCATATTTAATTAGACTTCTATCCATCCAAGGATTCAAAGACATTGTAGATGGCAAGATTGAGAGCTAAATATTGTGATAAGCATCCATCTAATAAAGAGATACACTTATGGTACAGTGCAAGTGCCAAAGTGTGCTAATAAAAATAAGGGTAATCGGTGCATCGATCCAAAACAAGAACAAGCAATTTCATGGAAACATAATTAACCAAAAAATATTAGTTGTACGTAACATATAACTAAGGCAAGAGGCGTCCACTTTAACCCCATCCCCCCAAATGAGTCTAAGATATGAACTTAAATAGAAATCAGTTTAGGTAATTACTGTTCTAAATGAATAGGAATCATTGAATTGACATACAAGTGTCTATGAAGATAAATATTAATTACTAAGGATTCAACTTTGATATTACTAATTTTACACTATGGGTAATGCGCCATATAGAAACTATTGATATGATTTTGTGCTAGATTGCTAGTGTAAAAGTTTGGTTACTTACTACAAACCATACGTGGCACTCTCTTGTATGATGTCTGCACATAATGTAAAAATACTAATAATGGTTCAAAATTTAAATTTAAATTTAAACACAATGTTCATTAGCAAAGGAGTTAGGTGACAGTAACATGTGTCATCCCCTTTTGTGCCTTTATATATTTATGAAATGCACACTTGATACAGAAATATAAAGAAACATTTTCAAGTCACACTCTGTTATTCGACATATGAAAATGTTAACATTAAGCATATTGATTATGGGAAGTGTACGGTGTACAACTTAAAATGACATTTTTTTACTGTATCATGGTTTGTTGGTCTTTCTCCATGGAATTCCTCAGTAAGGATATTACTTGAGCTGGCTTAGGAGCTCCAAACACTGAACTTCCAGCAACAATGCAATTTGCCCCAACTAATGCGACCATGTCTACGGTTGAAGGCCCTAAACCACCATCAACTTGAAATTGAGCTTGTTTTAGTTGTTGCAAAAATAATATAAGCACGCTAACAAAAACATTTAGGAACGGTTTGGATTAATTTATTTATTGCACATGAGCTTATGAAAATAATTAAGGACTTATTGAATAACAAGGTTGTCAAAAAGGTTATACGGCGAACGGCGGCAAGGACCTTAAAGTGTCATATTGCCATAACAGTCTATGGCGGACACAATATATATATATATATATATATATATATAAAATATGATGCAAAATATATATATATATATATGTATATAATATGATGCAAAAATAGAAAAATAACAAACACATATTAAAACCAACAATATAACAATTTAAAATTCATGACATTCATAATCTAGTGATAGTCATCATAAAAAGACATAAATTCCTAGCCAAAAAAAGGATTAAATGGTAATCAAAATAAAGAAACAATGTTAAAAAATAGCAAAAGACGGAGGGAGAAGGTGAAGAATTGCGCGCGGAGGGAGAAAGAGAGAATAGCATGCGGAGGGAGAAGGAGCGAAGCAGAATCTCACGGAGGGAGAAGAAGCGGACTAGATTCGCACACGAGGTGGTGGTCGCGTTAGAGGCAAATACAGCGGCAGAACTCATCGAAGGAGACACGCCGTTGAAGTTGCACGGAGGAGATGATGTCTAAGAACTATAGGGTTAGGGTTTTGCTACGAACCTATTCGGGAAAATGAAAAAAATGGAATGCTCAAACCTGGAAAAAAAAAATAGGCCCAAACCCAGAAAAATGGGGGAAAGAAGCCCAAAATGGGCGTCATGACCATTGTAAATTGCCACGTCGTTACCGCTGTAACGGTCGCCATATGCAAAATGGTGAACCCGTGCCATACAAAAGCCAAATAGCCATATCGAAACGCGACGACTGCTGCCATAACCACCATTTAACAACATTGTTGAATAAATGCTTATTATATAAGAACTTATGTATAGGTTATTTTATAATCAAGGAAGAAATAGAGTTAAACATATTCTATATAACCTATAAGCTATTTTCATCTGAAGAACCTTGTTGAGATAAGCTGAAAATAATTTACGAACATATCGTAACTTTATTTCATAAGTTCTCCCAAACACTTACACAGATGCTTTTGTTATAAAATAAGTCTAAATAAACTATGAATAAGCTTTTCCAATAAGAACCTTAATCACCTCTTATCTCCGTGAATACAAAAATTGAGCACTTAGAAATAATATTGAATAGGAAGTTTCGGTCATAAACCATTATATAAAAGAAGTTAAAAGTGCAAAGGAAAAAAATAAATAAAAGATCATTTGTTCTTTTTTTTTTTAAATAAATGAAGAGAACATAAATAAGTAAAACATGAAAGATTTAGCAAGTTCAAGAATCAAGCAAGCAGAAAATATCAATACTCTACTATGTCTATAACCAGGAAGAAAATATGCATCTAACTTGAAAGGAAAGAAGTTAGAAACAAAAGAATGTGTTGAGGTACCTCTCGGTCAAGTGATGGATACTTCTTCCTAAGTATACATACCTGGTTTGAAATTTCAAAATGGAAGACAAAAATTAACAAAAGGATATATACAACTTGCATAATTGACAAGAAATTTCAGTCACAAAGCATAATACAAGAAAGAGTGACAATACTTTATCCATCCTCTCGGGCATGAATTTTTGTTCTCCAAATCCAGGCTCTATAGTCATCACAAGAACCATTTCCACAGGATTTTCAGCTTCCACCTGTCAGTGAAAAGAATAAAAATGATGACACATAAGAAAAAGAATTGAAAAAAAAACACACATGCACATAAGACTAAGGGCTTCCTGTCATTGATATTGTATCTATTCTCAAGTTTATGCACAAGGACTCACGACACTCACAGATGATAAAGGCAGATAATAAAATTCAAATATATGGTACATTTTGTGTGGTTGGCCAATATCAAGGACTCACAATTTAATGACTAAAGTGCACCATATAGCTGGATTTTATTATCTGCCTTTATCATCTATGAGGGTCGTGAGTCCTTATGCATAAACTTGAGAATAGATACAATATCAATGTCTGGAAGCCCTTAGTCTCATGTGCATGTGTGTATTTTTTCCTTTTCTTTTTCTTATGTCTCATAATCTTTATTCTTTTCACTGACAGGTGGAGGCTGAAAATCCTGTGGAAATGGTTCTTGTGATGACTGTAGAGGCTGGATTTGGAGGACAAAAATTTATGCCCGAGATGATGGAAAAAGTATCGTCACTCTTTCTTTTATTATGCTTTGTGACTGAAATTTCTTGTCAATTATGCAAGTTGTATATATCTTTTTGTTAATTTTTTTTCTTCCATTTTGAAATTTCAAACCAGGTACGTATACTTAGGAAGAAGAATCCATCACTTGACATAGAGGTACCTCAGCACATTCTTTTTTGTTTCTAACTTCTTTCCTTTCAAGTTAGATGCATATTTTCTTCCTGGTTTTAGACATAGTAGAGTATTGATATTTTTTGCTTGCTTGATTCTTGAACTTGTTAAATCTTTTATGTTTTACTTATTTATGTTCTCTTCATTTATTTTTTTATAAAGAAGAATAAATGATCTTTAATTTATTTTTTGCCATTGCACTTTTAACATCTTTTATATAATGGTTTCTCACCAAAACTTCCAATTCAATATTATTTCTAAGTGCTCAATTATTGTATTCAGGAATATTGGAGGTGATTAAGGTTCTTATTGGAAGAGCTTATTCATAGCTTATTTAGAATTATCTTATAACAAAGGCATCGGTGTAAGTGTTTGGGAGAACTTATGAAATAAATTTATAATATGTTTGTAAATTATTTTCAGCTTATCTCAACAAGGTTCTTCAAATGAAAATAGCTTATAGCTTATATAGAATCAGTTTAACCCTATTTCCTCCTTGATTATAAAATAACCTATACATAAGGGTTTATATAATAAGCACTTATTCAACAGTGTTGTTAAATGGCGGTTATGGCAGCGGTCGCTGCGCTCTGTTATGGCTGTTTGGCCTTTGTATGGCATGGGTCTGCCATTTTGCATATGGCAACCGTTACAGCGATAATGGCATGGCAGTTTACGGCGGTGATGGTGCCCATTTTGCGCTTTCATTTTTCTAGGTTTGGGCCTAGGTTGTTTTTCCAAGTTTGGGCATTCCACTTTTTTCATTTACCTGAATAGGTTCGCAACAAAACCCTAACCCTATAGTTATGCAACATTATCTTCTCCGTGCAACGTCAACGACGTGCCTCCTCCAATGAGTTTTGTCGTTGCAGCTGCCTTTAACGCGACCACCACCTCGTGTGCTATTTTACTCCACTTCTTCTCCCTCTGCAGGAAATTATCTTCTTCTCCCTTTGTGCGATTCCGCTCCACTCCTTCTCCCTCCGCATGCAATTCTCTCTTTCTCCCTCTGTGCACAATTTTGCACCTTCTCCCTCTGTGTTTTGCTATTTTTTAACATTTTTTTCTTTGTTTTGATGGCCATTTAATCCTTTTGTTGGCTAGGAATTTGTCTTTTTATGATGACTATCACTAGACTATGAATGTCATGAATTTTAGTTTGTTATATTTTTTGTTTTAATATATGTGTTTGTTATTTTTCTATTGTTGCATCATATTATATTTATATATATATATATATATATATATATATTGTGTCCTCCATAGACTGCTATGGAAATATGGCACTTAAAGGTCTTTGCCCCCATCTGCCGTATAATCTTATTGACAACCTTGTTATTCAATAAGTCCTTAATTATTTTCATAAGCTCATGTACACTAAATAAATTAATCCAAACCATCCCTAAATGCTTGTGTTAGCATGCTCATATTATTTTTGCAACAATTGAAACAAGCTCAATTTCAGGTTGATGGTGGTTTAGGGCCTTCAATCATAGATATGGCCGCATCATCTGGGGCCAATTGCATTGTTGCTGGAAGTTCAGTGTTTGGAGCCCCTAAGCCAGCTCAAGCAATATCCTTACTGAGAAATTCCATGGAGAAAGCCCAACAAACCTTGATACAGTAAAAAATGTCATTTTAAGTTGTACATCGTACACTTCCCATTAATCAATATGCTTAATGTTAACATTTTCATAAGTCGAATAAAAGAATGTGACTTGAAAATGTCTCTTTATATTTCTGTATCAAGTGTGCATTTCATAAATATATAAAGGCACAAAAGCGGATGACACATGCTGTTGTCACCTAACTCCTTTGCTAAAGAACATTGTGTTTAAGTTTAAATTTAAATTTTGAACCATTGTTAGTATTTTGACATTATATGTAGACATCAGACAACATCGTGCCACGTATGGTTTATAGTAAGTAACCAAGCTTTTACACTAGTAGTCTAGCACAAAATCATATCAATAGTTTCCTATTTAAATGGCACTATATTATATTAGCCATAGTTTAAAATTATTAATATCAAAGTTGAATCCTTATTAATTAATATTTATCTTCATAGACACTTTTATGTCAATTGAATTATTCCTATTCATTTAGAACAATAATTACCTAATCTGATTTCTATTTAAGTTCATATCTTAGACTCATTTGGGGGGATGAGGTTAAAGTGGACGACTCTTGCCTTAGTTATATGTTACGTACCGCTAATAGGTTTGGTTAATTATGTTTCTATGAAAGTGCTTGTTCTTGTTTCGAATTGATGCACCGACTACCCTTATTTTTAACAGCACACTTTGGCACATGCACTGTACCATAAGTGTATCTCTTGATTAGGTGGATGCTTATCACAACATTCAGCTCTCAATCTTCCCACCTACAATGTCTTTGAATCCTTGGATGGATAGAAGTCTAATTAAATCTACATCTCTTTACTTGTGTAATTTCACAATTTTTTCCAAATCATCCTCTTAACTTAATTCATAAATTTTAAGTTGTTCTTTAATAGTATATTTTTTGTGACTCTTTATTCTGGACACAACAAATTAGAAATGTCTTAAGGATTGGGTTTATCTCCTACTACTCCCAAAATCAGCTTAAATTTATGTCTACAGAAATACCAAGTCAAGTTGATGAATAAATTCATTTCCAACTATTATGATTTGAATCTTGAATGCATAATAGAACTAGCACCCAGATGCAAGCTTTAACCTACAGTTTTTACTTTATATATTTGCAAGAAGAAGCTTGAAAGATAATTACTGCTAAGCTCTCCCAGATTTTTCTTAATTTACTTCATTTACATGATCATCCTACTCAATAAGAGTATAGTGAAATGCGTAAATTGCAGTCCAGTTCTATGACAATTTTACAATTAAGGCATTCTCCCTAATGTCAATACAATACAAGAGAAATTATTTGTTTCAAAAACAAAGAACTGGATGATAGGTAGAAAAGTATAACTTAATCAGAAATCCATCACCAGAAAATAGCCATGAGATTGAGGAGTTTTGGCGTTTGCCACATGTTTATATGATTAATGGCCAAAACTGATTATTGGGTTACAAGCAAATATGCAACATAGGAATGTAGAATATATCAAAATACTTGGCTAAAAACATTAAATTAAGATACTATAAACAACAAGGTAAGGTGAAAAAAAATCCAGTAATTGCATCTGTCATGCTAATCAATGTTGTCAAAAAATTGTTATAACAACATTATAACAGAATGGCAGGGCAGTTTTGGGGCTCTCTGCAATTCGCCATCTGCCATATGGCATTTTGTGGCGCTGTCTGCCATTTCCACCGTGGCGAGCGCCATGGTCGTTTTGACCTGTTAAGATATGAAGGATATGGCAGATGTAACGGGTCTAGGGTTTCTGGGCTAGGTTTGGGCTGCGACCCAGACCCAATTTGAGTGTCTTAATGGCTTTGGGGTTAGAGTGTGAACAGAGCCGTTGCAATAGCCTAATGGAGGACCACCCTTTGAACTTCATGTGGGACCCATTACTTGGTCCATGGTTAGGAGAATGGAGGAAGATGAAGGAGACACCATGCTTAGAGTCATACTCATCATGAGTGTGAAGCATTGATCCATCTCCTAGGCCCATTTTGAGTAGTATAGGATTTTATTGCTTTATTTTCTTTTTGACCCTTGTATTTTGGGGTACTTTAGATGATAAGATTTTATTATGTATTTTTATTTAGCCTTTGTATTATGGGTCAAATTAGCTTAGCATTTAATTTAGGACTTAAATCTTGACTTGTGAGGTCAAAGTCCACTTTTTTCTATTATTTTGTCAAAGGCTATTTTAGTCTTTTAGGAGAAAGGAACCCACACATCATCTAAGGTTCATTTAGGTTGCATTTGGGCTTGCATTACACAGCCATGCAACCCTAAATGCAACCCTAGATGTCTTCCTACTCCTATATATACCCTTAGCCTAACACCTTGTACACACTTTGGAATATATGACTTTGAGTGAACATTTTGGCCTCAAATCCTCGCCTTAGTCACCTAGGTCTAAAGGGCCTAACCCTCCCTTCTCCTCCTTGAATGAGTTTAGGGTTTATTTGAGTGGCCTTCACCCTTGCCTACTGAAGTGAGCCAACTTTGAACCTTCCAAACACCTTCCTCCTTCATTTTTCCCTATTTGCCCACCTTTCACCCCTCACGCATATACTCTCTTTTGCTCCACCCTTGAAGGAAAGTCCACCCCTTAAGGTCATCATCTTGGTTGTGGAAAGGAGTCCATCACAGCCAAACATCCAAATGCACTCCTGTGACCTTCAACCTATCTCCGGTGACATTCCTCTACTTTCGCCAACCACTTGCCAGTCACCCTTCCTACCTATCTTTTTTTTTCTCCTAAAGATATTTTCTCATGTTAGTTTATTAATTTCTCCATAAAGATACTCGTGCATGAGCTAGTTTTATCTAAACTTTTGTCCATTTTTCCTACTTACTTTTTTCTCCTAGAGAGGTATTTCCAGACTAACCAAACAAAACAAGAAATGGGAATAAACATAAATGCAACATAAAAACCCATTAAATTTGGAAGTAATGGCAACAATCTGAGTTCAATTACAGTAGAAGCAAAGCAAGAGGCGAGGTCGTTACCCATCCTGCAAATGAAAGAAAAATGAAAAATATGAGCAAGTATGCATGGATATGGAAAAAAAATGGTGAATTGGAGACATTGGTTACCATGATGTCCATGTGGAGCCAATCGGCGCGGCGGTTGAGCATGCGATGGGCCTTGGAAGCTAAATGATGGGCCTTGGAAGCCAAATTGGCGAAGTCGGAAGAGAGCATCGAAGAAGCAATTTTTTTGGGTGCCACTCCCATCGTTAGCAAAAAGTTCGTCGATGGTGGTTGGTGACGGAGCAGAAAATGAAAGGTGCTTCTCTTCTCTTATTCCGAATTGGGGTTCCGGTGGGTTGGTACTACTTACCAGTAATGATACTGTTGATGCCACCTTTGACTTCAACTATTTTTAGGGTGCAATTTTTGACACCGCATTGCAACTTGGATTCGATTCCATCCATACACAAGGTTCACTCGAAAGACTTGAGTTATGCTTAAAAGATCAATTCGGCAAAAAAAAACCAACAACAACAACTTTTTCTTATACATCAAAACTATAATGATTACACTTTGAACATAAGAATATGTGTATACTTCTTTAAATGTGTGATTACGTGTATTTCATCTTCACCATTACTACGTTGATCGTACATAAGAATAAGACAACATTTTATTTTGTATTTATAATCGTAGTTTTTAAATTTAAATATATTTTTTCTCTTTAATTTTAAGGTATTTTTATTCATTCATGCGTATTTAATGATAGAGATAAAATAAAGGATTCATAATTTTACTAATAATATTTTAAAAAATTAGTGGTTGACTTTGACCATAGATCAATCGTTCTAATTTAAATCTTTGTTAAAAAAAACCATAAAGGGATCTTTTTGTCTCTAAAATTAAAATTTTTATTTTTAATTTAAATAATAAAAAGGTAACTAACTAAGTTAAGTGATGGAGGGGTTGTGTGATGGAGGAGGGGAGAAAAAATAAACTACACTGCCACGCAAACCACCTGATGGTGGTGGTTCCTTTACAACCTCGAAGATCTAGTTTCATGATAAGATGATGGGGTTCAAAAACCTGCCACAACGAGCGAAGAAGGACTTCATTGGTCTTAATGTGTTTAGGGTTGAATTGGAGGAGAGCGATTGACTTCGTCCCAAGTGTTTTATTGATGATACAATTTTGCATGAGTTGTAGGTACCATGGAAGGATGTAAAGATTATTAAACTCTTGGGAAAAATAGTTGGTTACCCAATAATGAAGGATCGTCTTCAGACTACTTGGAAGCCCTCTTGTGGATTTGATATGGTGGACATGAGACATGGATTCTTGATGGTCAACTTTAACTCTGCTATGATAGAGATAAAGTGATGGATGGTGGTCAATGAATGATTTTTTTATCATCACTTGACAGTTTGATAGGCTCTGAACTTCGTGGCTTCTAAGGAAAAGATTGATTGTACTCTTGTGTGGATTAGGTTCCCCTATTTGGGACTGGAATTCTATGATGAAAGTGTCTTGATGGCCTTGGCAACTGTGGTAGGTAAGCCTATTCGTATGGACTTGACAACTTTGATGGCGTCTCAAGGTAAATTTGTCAGGATTTGTGTTGAGATTCATCTTACGTAGCTAGTGGTAGATCAAGTTTGGTTCCAAAACCACTGGTTTCATGTTGAGTATGAGGATTTGCATTTAATTTGCAAGCATTGTGGGTTGTATGGTCATACAATAGGGTCTTGTCAGGTCAAAGGGCCAAAGGCTAGTTCGATGCCAAGAGGAGAATTGGAGATGACAAAATCTGTTATACCAATGAATCCCACTAACCCTCAATTAGTTGTGTAAGATGACAGAGGTCTTGGTAGAAATCAAGGTGAAAAGAATATGTATGGGGATTGGTTGGTTTTGAAAAAAAGGAAACATAACACGAAAAAAGGTTATAATCGTTTGGTAGATTCTCAATTTGATAAACGTAACCCTAAGACTATGAGGTTTCAAGAGGCCAAATTACAACCTAAAATAAAAGAAACAAGGCCCAAATACAAGTGGCCTAAAAGAAATTGAACAAGAAATAAGCAAAAATAAGGTTAAGTCTTCAACTCCTCCAATTCGGCTACACTTCACAAGGAACAAACTAGGTTAGTCCTCTCCTTTGGTGTTTTTACTCTTTTTATGGTATACTTTTCCAAAGCACTTGGGATCTCCATGGATTTAATATCCATTCAATCCCCCAAAGAAATTGGCTAAGGGGTTTTGGAGGTAGAATTTCACCTACACCCAAAGATAACAAACCAATCAAGAACAAGAAGGAGACCAAAGGAAATAAAAATTAAAAATACTCAATTAAAAAGGCTAAACTCAATGAGAGATTAATGAGACAAACATAAGAGTTCCAAAAAAGACAAGCAAAAATTAAGACACATTAAAAGGGCTAGCACTCAAAGGGAAAGTCCTATCAAAGGGAAATTCCTAGAATGACACTAGAATGGAGTCAAAACTTAATGGTTTTGCACTTGTAATTTTTTTAAGTCCTTTTTGTAAGGTCCAACCACAGTTTTGAGTCTCAAATAAGGTCCAAAAATTTAGTCTAAGTCCAACACCAATGTGCAAGGGGTAATTAGGTCAAATGTCTACAAGTCTAGCAACAAGTCCTTTTGTTTTCCTTTTCTTTTCTTTTGTATTTTTGGATTTCATAACATCAACTTGAATAAACAACTTGAGCAACTATAGTCAACACCATATCAACTTTACAACAATAGACTACTTCAGCTGATACATCTCGACTTATTCATATTTCAACAATAAACAACATGTAAACAACTTAGTTTCATCAACTACACAACATATAAACAACTTAAGTCAACAACCACTCACTCATCTTCATCAGGCAACTTAGCAACTTAACCAAATCATTAAGCATACTCAAGCCCGGCGCAACCATCAATATAACCTTTTAAGGAACTTTATGTTTTTTGATATACAACCAGAGATTATTTTATGTGTCCCCTACACCATCTATATATACATTGTTGCATGATCTCCAAGAACTATTGCATGAGATTTTATGTTTTGATATATTTATGTTTTTTTTACTGCTATTGAGTTGTGTCAACATGGTGACCTACTAGGTCACTACATTTATTATTGAAGAAATGATAATTATTGTTTAAAATGTTGATCACAAATACACATGTTTTTTATTTTAACATTTTCTTTCCAAAAAAATATTGTTTAAAATTTGTAAAAAAATCATTATATCTAATTCATATTTAACAGAAATTAAAAAATAAATATTAAAATTTTTACTAGTCAATAATTATTTTATTGTAAGATAAATATTTTATTAAATTTTAAAATTATATTTTTATGATTTAAATATGAATTTGTTGTTACAAGATAAGTAAATATATTTTTCAATTATTGATTGTTGAAGTAAAATGTAACTTTAAATTACTTTTCTTTGGAAGAGGGAGAAAATAATATAAAAAAAAGTGTAATCGGTAATGTGGTTAAGAGAAAGAGATAGACTTTAAAATGTAATTTTGTTAAAGTAAAATGATAGATAGGAGATGACACTCTTATAACTATCAAATAAAGAGTCAATAATATGTTGGAAATTCTAAGATCAAGTATCATTATCCACTTAGTTATTAGTCAAAAGTTAAAAGTGTCTAATTTGACTCATGACTTGCCAAACGGAGGATTCCTAGAAAAACTCTACCTCTAGCACCAATGAATCTCCTTGAGCAATATATACTCATTATAATAAGATTTTATGGTTGTAATGAGTGTTGAAGTTGTATCATGGAGAACACACTTAAATCGAATCCTTTAAAATGTATTTAAGAAAAAGGAAAAAATATATGATAGATAATAGTGTTATAAATTTAAGAAATATTAATGATATACTTAAATGAAGAGAAAAGAAATATAGGCCCATTTGAATTTTTGAAAGAGAGTATAAACAACTTATTTGACATATTTTATGCTATAAGTGTGGCATAAACCTTACCGAATCCAACGTTTGACCTATCTCAACCAGGTTAGGTATAGGGCATCGTTAGGAACTCCGAAGAGAACCAGGTATATACAATAATAAGCAATTGCTCAAGTTGTGCCACTTAGACTCGAAGGTCTAGTGCTTTTGTCAGGACAGAAGGGTTTAGGTATATAGGACTCCATGGCCTTGGTTTGCATGACCAATCCACATATGGGGTTAGCCCATCAACTATCCTCCAAGTACCACGCACCCTCTAGTACCTAGTCAAAGACTATATCTCCAACTAGATACCTTACTCAAATTGGTTATTCAACCATGACATGGATCGACTACTTAAAGATCTAGGGAGAAGCTTGAAGGGGAATCAACATCAATCTGGTTTCTCAACGAGTCTTCCATCACTTATAACAAGGTTTTCATGGATGACAATAAGACACAAAGGAAGACGCAAATAATGACCAAAAATATAGGGACTCAAAGAAATGAAAAGAAGACTAGTTACCCTTGAAGCCAACCAAAGCTTTGATACCAAATGATGAACTCCTTCCACCATGGGAGAAACAAAGACGTCCAAGGTGAGGAGGAGCTCCTTGCCACAACCAAGACGATGACCTTAAAGGGTGGACTTTCCTTCAAGGGTGGAGCAAAAGAGAGTATCGGCGTGAGGGGTGAAAGGTGGGCGAATAGGGAAAAATGAAGGAGGAAGGTGTTTGGAAAGTTCAAGGTTGGCTCACTTCATTAGGCAAGGGTGAAGGCCACTCAAATAAACCGTAAACTCACTCAAGGAGGAGAAGGGAGGGTTAGGTCGTGTAGACCTAGGTGACTAAGGAGAGGATTTGAGGTAAAAATGCTCACTCAAATTCATGTATTTCAAAGTGTGTACAAGGTGCTAGGCTACGGGTATATATAGGAGTAAGAAGGCATCTAGGGTTCCATTTAGGTTTGCATGGCCGTGTAATGCAAACCAAAATGCAACCTAAATGATTCCTAGATGATGTGTAGGTTCCTTCCTCCTAAAAGACTAAAATACCCTTTGACCTAAAAATTGAAAAAAGTGGACTTTGACCTCACAAGTCAAGGTTTAAGTCTTAAAATAAATCCTAAGCTAATTTGCCCCATAATAAAAAGACTAAATGAAAATACATAATAAAATCCTATCATCTAAAGTACCCCAAAATACAAGAGTAAAAAAGGAAATAAAGCAATAAAGTCCTATACTACTCAAAATGGGCCTAGGAGATGCATCAATACTCCACACTCATGATGAGTATAGCTCTAGGCATGATGTATCCTTCATCTTCCTCCATTCTTCTAATCATGGACCTAGTAATGGGTCCCACATGAAGCTCCAAGGGTGGTCCTCCATCAGGCTGTCGCGGCGGCTCTATTCACACTCTAACCCCAAAGCAATTAGGGCACTCTAATTGGGCCTGGATCGCAACCAAAAACTGGCCCTGAAACCCTAGCTCTATTACGTCCGCCATATCGTTTATATTATAACAGGTCAAAATGGCCATGGCGCCCGCCACGGCAGAAATGGTGGACGACGTCACAAATTGCCATACGGCGGATGGCGAATTGCGGAGAGCCCCAAAACTGCCTTGCCATTCCGTTGTAACGCCATTATAAGAATTTTTTCACATTGATTAGCATGACAGATGCAATGACTGGATTTTTTTTTTCACCTTACCCTGTTGTTTATAGTATTTTAATTTAATGCTTTTAGCCAAGTATTTTGATCTATGCTACATTCCTATGTTGCATATTTGCTTGTAACCCATTAATCATTTTTGGCCATTAATCATATAAACATGTGCCAAATGCCAAAACTCCTCAATCTCATGGCTATTTTCTGGTGATGGATTTCTGATTAAGTCATAATTCTCTACCTATCATCCAGTTCTTTGTTTTTGAAACAAATAATTTCTCTTGTATTGTATTGACATTAGGGAGAATGCTTTAATTGTAAAAGTGTCATACAACTGGATTGCAATTTAGGCATTTCACTATACTCTTATTGAGTAGGATGATCATGTAATTGAAGTAAATTAAGAAAAATCTGGCAGAGCCTTGCAGTAATTATCTTTCAAGCTTCTGCTTGCAAGTATATGAAGTAGAAACCGTAGGTTAAAGCTTGCATCTGGGTGTTAGTTCTATTCTGCATATTAGCTGTACGTAACATAGAACTAAGGTAAGAGGCATCCACTTTAATCCCATCCCCCCAAATGAGTCTAAGATATGAACTTAAATAGAAATCAGTTTAGGTAATTATTGTTCTAAATGAATAGGAACCATTGAATTGACATTCAAGTGTCTATGAAGATAAATATTAATTACTAAGGATTCAACTTTGATATTACTAATTTTACACTATGGGTAATGCGCCATATTGAAACTATTGATATGATTTTGTGCTAGCAGTTTATGGCGGACACAATATATATATATATATATATATATATAGAGTT